TTAAATTACTCAAGATTTGGTTTTTTTTGATTATAGACTTTGGCAAATTCAGGTGAATTAAAATTTATCGATGAAATAGAAGCATTGACCAAAGAAGCAACAAGATTACATAATGAAGGAATTAAAATAATAATTGCTGTCGGTCATTCAGGTTATGATGTTGATATGGAAATTGCTGCCAAAGTACCTTACTTAGATGTGATAGTTGGAGGTCATAGTCATACTTTTCTTTATTCAGGTACCAGGACGACAAAAAAACTTGTTTGACTCGTTTATTATTATTATTAATACCGTTTGCGAAAAATCAGTTTAATCGATTGATTAATAAAAATTAATAATTTTATTTTAATTCGTGGATGTGGTAATAACGTTTACACGAAACAATTTTTTGTGCGCAGGTACTCCTCCCGATATCGAAGTACCCGTTAGAGAATATCCGATAATGATAAAACAAAAAAATGGCAGACTTGTACCCATAGTGCAAGCTTTTTGTTTTACTAAATATTTGGGTAAAATCGATATAACGTTTGACGATGATGGAGAAGTAACGAGCGCAACCGGAAATCCGATTTTATTAAATTATAAATATAAAGAAGATGTCCAAGTATTGAGAGAATTGAATAAATGGAAAGAAAAATTATCGGAATCGTTGATTCAAAATGTCGGCGTAACAAAAGTTTTACTCGATGCCACGGAATGTAGATTTTCAGAAACAAATATTGGAAATCTTATAACGGATGCTTTTATTTATCACGTGAGTTTATTTTTTTCCATACGAATATAATTTTTTAAAACGTAATTAAAAAAAAAAAAAAAAAAACGAATAATTATGTAATTAAAGGCGGTTAAAAATAATACCGGTAAATATTGGACGCAAGCTCCGATAGCAATTCAACAAGGCGGTGGAATAAGAGCATCCATTAACGTAACGGGAAGCAACGGTAATCAAATGAAAAACTTTTTATATGAATTATTATTATTATTCGAAATAAAATAAAAGACGTTTATAAATTTAAATTTCGTAGGTGTTTTAACAAGAGAAGATATAATGACGACGATGCCATTTTTTACTTCTTTATCAATGGTTAAAATGAATGGTAAAACGTTACACGAAGGATTAGAATGGAGCGTTGCACAATATAGTACGGAAAGACATGTTGGAAGGGGACAATTTTTACACATGTCGGGTATGAAAGTAAAATACGATTTAAATAAAAATCCTGGATCGAGAGTGACATCCGTTTCTGTACGATGCGCATTTTGCGATATACCACGTTATAATCCTTTAAACATGACTGAAGAATATACGGTTTTAATGCCGACATTTTTAAAACTCGGTGGAGATAATTTTACTATGTTTAAATATAACGGAACAGAAATATTGAGATTCGGTTAGTTTTCTTTTAAATAAAAAAAAAAGTCAAATGCAATGATTTACGTCGGAAAATATTAAATTATTATTATTATTATTTTTTTTTTTTAGAAACTAAAGATACGGAAATTGTTATTAATTATATTAACGAAACTGGAATTGTTTATAAAGGATTAGAAGATAGAATTGAAATAATATCTAAAAAATTAGGATCGTCCGGTGTTAAAATCACATTCAGTTATAATTATTTAGTCTTTTTTATATTAATTTCATATTTTTGTAAATAAATTATTTATTTTATTATTCAAAATTATTTATTTGAAAGACAAATTTATTTTTTTTTTACGTGGTTAAGTATCGTTTTAAAGTTTTTTTTATTTGTTTTTGTTTTTTTTTTTTTTTTTTTCTTCACAAAAAATAAAAATTTTTTTCTCTCTTCTTGTATTTCACAAAGGATTGACGACTTTTCCGGCAAAAAGTGGAACTTTGTTCGCTCTATCGAGTATGAAAAATAAAAATGGATGATCGGCTATGAAATCGAGATTATCCGTCGGTATAAAACTCGTTACTTCGAAGAAAATACCCGTGGCGGCAGAAGCAACGCTTCCCTCTTCGTCTATTTCCACGTTTGCTTCGTGTAAAACTTGCGAAACGACTAAATTATCATCCGGTGCGATTCCTTTTAAATTCGCCGCCGTGGTAAATAAATCATTTAATCCCATCTGAAAAAATTAAAAAAAAATTGGCATCATTCAATCTTATCGGTGTTGCCAAATTTAACCGTTACAAAAAAATAACAAATCGTTAAAATGTATTTTAAATAAAATTATTTGCAATATCAATTCGTTATTTTTAAAAAATTTAAATAATTTTTTTTTTTTTTTTTTTAAAAGTTTTTTAATTGGTAAATTGGATACCATTGACAAAACTCCATTGAGTGATAATTTTTTACTAAGTTTAAATTTTGGTATTCTCATTGTGACGTGTCTTGTGCCTTCGTCATTAATTAATTTTCTTAAAAAATCTCCATTTATTTTTTCCATGACTTGATTCAATCTGTGTTTTTCAGTTGGGAGTACAAATAACATGGAAAATTTTTCATTCTGAAATATATATATGTTAAAAATATTAAATTTGAATTATCGTTACGGGAAAAAGGAATTGATTCCAAACTTCTTATATTTATTTTCTATTTCGTTAAAAGTTAAAAAAAAAAAATAAAAACTTGCCTTGAATGGTAAATCAACCCATTTAATTTTCATTTTACTATTTTCTCCAGCTAAAAATCTTTCCGTTTGAGTCATGAATGGTACATCAACAGAACTTTCAGGACTGCTTTCAAATTTTTTATTTACTGTTAACATTTTTTTAAAGGGAACATCCCAAAGTCCTTTAAAATATATCGCATTGAGAAGAATCATTCTTAGACTATCGGAAAGTGATCCTTGAAAACATAAAATATTTCATTAAAAATGTGATATATGATAAAAAAGATTTTATAAAGATTTCTTATAAAGAAAACAAACCAGGAGAAATGAAGTCTTTTATGTTGTCATGTGTAACTTCTTTTATCCAATTATTCATTTTATCTGCAGCTTCTTGTGGTGATGGATCAGTGAAACTTATTTTTTCAATTTCCGTCCCAAAATTTTCAGTTATTATTTTATTGAAATTCTCACCGATATGATACTGAGGGATTACATAAATTCGATTTCCCCACTCCAATGTAACATTTTCCTTTTCTTTCTGTTAATTAACAAAAATAAAATAGACATTAAAACACATAATTAAAATTTAATTTTAAATTAAACTAAAATCGAAATTTTTACCCTTAACAAATCGAGAGAAGCTTTGAATGCATTTTTAGATTCTTCAGAAGTCATGTGAAGAACATTATTAAGTTGAGTGAGAGTGTTTTCTTGAGCTCCTTGCTGAACGATGGCAAGTAAAACTCCAACACTACTTGGAGACAAAACCACATTTCCTTCATCAGCTTTCGATTGCACCTTTGAAAAAAAATTTACAATGTTTACAAATTAAGTTTTATTTTATTTACTTTTTTCTATTATTAAATTTTAAATCACTAACTTACTTTTAATAATTCGAGTGCAAAATCACAAGATGCTTTTGAAAAAAGTGAACCAGAGTCCTCTTCAGCAGAGGCACTGCTTAGTCCAAAAATCAGGACCCCCAGTAATAATAAAAACAGGTCTATTTTAATTCGAAAAAACAAAAATAATAATAAATTTACTTTACAAAAAAAAAAAAAATAATAATAATAATCGCTTACACAAAAACACTTACATTATTTTTTTAAAAAAACTAATCATTATTAATAATTTCAAAACAAAAAAAACATTTTTTAATAAAAAAATATAATTTCAAAACCGTTTGTTTATTTTGAAAGGGAAAATTATTGTCGAAATTTAACCGACGATTTGAGGGAAAAATTTTTTTCATAAGTTGGCACGACTGTAAATTAACTTGGCTTCTTCTTTTTGATGCTCGAAAAGCGCCGAAAGATATGTTAAATTTTTTTTTTTTAAATTTTCGTTTTTTATTGTTTTAAGTCACGTAAACAGGTATAAATAGTATTTTATTTTACAATAAGTATAAAACGTTAAATTTTCATTTAAAACGCTCAGTTAATATATTCAAAATATGTTTGTATTTTGAAAATTTTATTTAACATTTTGACGTTGCATGTTGTAATCATGAGAAAATACAAAAAAAAAATTTCTTTTAAACGTTTTTATAACGTCAAACTTTAGTTTAAGATTAAAAAAAAAATCTCTTGAATATTATAAATAGCAAAAAAAAAATATTTAAATGTTGGTCTCCTCTCTCTTTATCAGGAAAAAAAAAAAAAAACTTTTAATTAGAAATATTATTACGCAATTAAATT